AGAGAGGGAGAGAGAGAGAGAAGGTTGATAGTTAGCACTTAAGAAGAAAACAAGCCTTGTTGCTTTGTGCAGGGCCCGGGGTGGAATGTTGAAACGGTCACACTGATAATTCTGCAGCTTTGTTGTGTCTGTTTGTGCGGAGTTTTGTTTTGCTTGCTTGTTTGTTCATTTGATTGTTTGTTCATTTGTTTGTTTGTTCATTTGATTGTTTGTTAGTTTGCAGTTTTGTTTTGTGTCTTAGAATAGGCGCAGTGTTGTAGCACTTTAGGGGGTTGTCGTGGGACATAGGGGATGACATCGAGATATTTCTGAGAATAGATGTACGGTCGGGGAGAGAGGAGACAGAGAGAGAGAGAGAGAGAGAGAGAGAGAGAGAGAGAGAGAGAGAGAAAGAGAGAGAAAGAGAGAGATGGAGAGACAGAGAGAGGGAGAGAGAGAGAGAAAGAGAGAGAGAGAGAGAGAGAGAGAGAGAGAGAGAGAGAGAGAGAGAGAGAGAGAGAGAGGGGGGGGGGCGTCATCAAGCAAATCTTTATTGAAAGTTATTCCCCTTTAATGGCCCCCGTCCATCAATGGCTGCCGCCTTGGCCACAAATACTTTCAGATAGATTTCTGTGGGGCGAGACGCCGTCCCTTATGATTCAGCAGGGCCCTCACATTGATGATGGATACCGGCTGTAATTACATCCCAATCTGGGCAGCACCAATGCTCAGATACCTTCTGATTTCCGCGAAAAATGGTCAACTCTTTTAAGACGAGATTTAGTTGCTTTAAAAAAAAAAGTTTTCGTAAAAGTTTTACGCACTTGCTGTTTTATTGTTGTTTGTCTTGTTTTAGTAGAGGTTTTACGGCGCTCGCAATTGCATAAGGTCATATGAGGGCCAAGGAAGGGGTGGATGTCAACAGAGAAGTCCATACAGGGAATCAGACTTACTCTGCTCACCTCCCTAGCTTCAACAGCACAAAGTCTGCTCCGACTATCAAGGCAGCCCAGAAACAGCGGATCGCAAGAGTGTGACAAACACACAAAAGAGGTAGAGGAAAATGACGAAAGGATTAAGAAAGAAAAAGCAGCAGTTCCTTCTTGTAGTTCAGGCATAGTTATGAGCATGACAGCCCATTTACAATTCTACTGTGCATTAGAACGAGAAAAGTCCCCCCTTTGGGAATGGCCTTACAGACACTTCAGTCAGTGGCACCGCCCAGGGGGGGGGGGTGTTGTCGTTGTTGTTGTTTTTTTAAATAAGAGTTTTACGGCACTTGCAACACATTAAGATAATAAAATAAGAGAGTAACAAACAGAAAAAGGAGGAGAGGTCAGGACGATACCTGTTGGATAGGAAAGCAGTAGCAAACCAGACCAGAACAACCGCCAATCCCCCACTACTTATAGAAACACGAACGTGCAATACTTGCACCTAAAAAGTAGTGGCGCACGAGTGGCACCCTACTAGCGATTTCATTTCTAAAAAAAAAAAGGGGTGGGGTTGGTTTTTAGTTTTAGTAAGTGTTTTACGACACTTGCAACACACTAAGGTCATATAAGTGACGAAGATTTGAGGGGTTACAAGAGAGTAACAAACACAAAGAAGAAGGAGGGGATATAAAGACGATAGATGTTTGATAGGAAAGAAGAAGCAAACCACACCAGAGCACCCGTCAACCACCCGCGTAAGGGGGGGGGGGGGGTTAGAGGTGCTGAGTTGCGTTCTTGTTCATGAGATTGCTTTTGTTTTTAAGTATGTTACAGCGCTCGCACCTGCAGATGGTCATAATAAATGTGAACACGGGTGACACACTGAACATTTTTCAGTTTGGTAGAATTTACTTTGAATTTCGCCCGGGTGGCAGCCGAAGCATCCGCGAATCGATTTAAGGACCACCAAGGGATCTTTAATGTGCGGAACTTGCACACGGAGGCCTCCAAGATTCTTTTTTTTTTATATAGTAGAGGGTTCTACGGCGCTCGCAACTGCATAAGGTCATATGAGCGCCAAGGGGTGGATGTCAACAGAGAAGTCTTTACAGGGAATCAGACTTAGACTGCTCACCTCTCTAGCTTCAACAGCACAAGGTCTGCTTCGACTATCAAGGCACCCCAAAATAGCAGGTCACAAGGGAGTGACAAACATACAAAAGAAGTAGAGGAAAATGACAATAGTAAGGATCAGGAAAGAAAAAGCAGCAGTTCCATGTTGTAGATCAGGCACAGTTATGATCGTGACACGAGTCAGCCCATTTACAATTCTTTTATGCTTGAACGAGATATGTCCCCCCTTTGGGAATGACTTAAAGACACTTCAGTCAGTGGCACTGCCCCGAGGGTACAAGATTTTTAGCTCTTATCCAAAATGGCAAGGTGATAGATCTTACCTACTCTAAGATAAGGGTGTGGCTGAAAGCGAGCAGTAAGAAGGAACCAAGGAGTAGCAGACGACAGAACATGGTCAGAGAGCAGGACAAGAAGTGAAAGGATAAAGTTTTAGTGAAGAAAATTTTCTGTTGTTTTCAGGTTTCAAACCTGGGACTTAATGAATGAGTGGCGAACATCCATAGCCCCTCCACCACCAGAGTTCCTTTTATGAGATTATGAGACAGAAGACTCACAATTATTCCCTCGACGGAAGCGAACCATGAAACAAGGGCTACAAAAGAAACATTGCGCAACCGACGCTGAAATTCAAACATAGTAGGCTGGATCGAGAACTCTAGCAACAGGTTGTGAGTGGATGACGCACACAGTGAGATATGGCACACACACACACAAATGTTTATATCATAAAGTAATGGCAAACTAAACGACATCAGAGAAATGTGATAAGAAAGTGGTCCTCTTCCCCCCTCCCCCTCCCCCTCCCCCCTCCCCTTTGCCCCGTCTTCTGGACGCCTTACTCTATCTACAGCCTTTCTTTAGTGTATAGTTTGTGATGAGTTTTTGCGTCACTCGCAACTGCATATGGTCATATGAGCGCCAACAGCCACTCTACGGCTACTCCATGGCTCCTTATTACTGCTATCTTTCAGCAACAACCCTGATCTGATGGTAGGAAATATCTAGCCTTCTCGGATAAGGGCAAAAAAACCTCGGAGGTTCCCCATGCAAGATGCGAACGTTAAATATCTCCTGGTAGTCCTAAAATCGATGAGTAGGCTTCGGCTGCTACCAAGGCAAAATTCAAAATTCCCCACAAAACTGAAAAGTAGATGTTTAATGTGTCCCGCGCGCTCATGACCCCCATGCAGTCATGAGCGCCGTTCAACACAAGAAGAAAAAAAACAAACCCAGAAGCGGTGACGCACTCTGAGATCCCCACTCCCCCAAATAAAAAAAAAGAAAGAAAAAAAAAGATCGTCTTGAGCAATACATGATGGGCCACAACAAAAGCAGAATCAGGATAAGCATTTGTCAGGAAGCAGAAAAAAATAAATGCTTGAGATACTTGTTATCAGCACTTTGAATTCTCATGGCTGCGTGCTGTGGCCTGCAACTTGGCTATAATAGACAGGACTGGACCTCTCCATTCACTGGATAAGAAAGGACGTGAACAACTCAGAAACCAGGTATCTTTTTGCTGTGGACAGTGTGCATCCCCCTTCTGATCTGGGTTACCCTCAGCCGGAGAGGAACAGCACATGTGAAGGTAAGGCCTAACTCTAAATATTTTTCCATTTTTTAAATTGTTTTTTCCTGCGTGGACGTCGCAGTTGACTCCACCCATTCAATTGGGGGAAAGGGCAGGGGGCGAGGGTTTTATTTTACTACTTTTTCCTGTAATGTGAGCTCATAAGACGCTGCTGCAAAGTCCCGGGAAACAAAAGCTCCGTAAGATCGAGAAGGGCTCGAGACTTTTTTTGGGGGTAAGTATTTTACAGCTTTCGCAACTGCATAAGATCATATAGGCGCGCGGGACACATCAAACGTTTTCAGTTTTGATAGGAATTAATTTTGAATTTTGCCCAGGTGGCGACCGAAGCATACTCTTATCGATTTTGGACCACCGAGGGATCGTTAGTTTTAGTAGAGGTTTTTCGGCGCTCGCAACTGCGTAAGGTCATATGAGCGCCAGAAGATTAGAGGTGTTACAAGCGAGTACCGTAACAAACATAAAAAAGAAGGAGGGTAGATAAGGATGATAGGTGTTTGATAGGAAAGAAGGAGCAGACCACACCAGAGCACCCGCCAACCACCCGCAGGGATCGTTAACATGCACAACTAGCACACGGGACCTCCGAGATTTTTCGCCCTTATCCGAGAAGGCTAGGTTTTAAATCTTGCCTACCCTTAGATCAGGGGGTGTGGCTGAAAGACAGCAGTAAGACGGAGCCAAAGAGTAACAGTAGAATTGCTGCAGAAAGAGTCAGGAGCCCAGAGGAGGGAGCAAAGGGGGTGAAGGGGTGGGGGCAGAAAATCGCCATGAAAGCAGACGACAGAACATTGTTAGAGAGCAAGATAGAATGTGAAAGGAGAACATTTTAAGAGAAAAAAAATTGTCCGTTGCTATCCGAATTCGAATCCGGGATCTTTGAATGAGAGGCCAACACCTTAACCTCTAAGCCACGACAGCCCCCGAATTTGAGTATGATATACTTCCTTTTTAAGTCCATTTGTGTAAAAACAACAACTAAACAAACATGCAGAAATATAGATCTACATACTTTTTCTACTTGTAAAAAAAAATGTAACGTGTTTCGGAAAATGATAGAAGGCGAGTTTTGGGGATGCCCCAAGCTGGACATACACAGCGAGGTGCGGCTCAAAACACCCAACGGTCCAGAAACATCTTTGGATGGCTGTGGGCATGCGTCGCGGGGCGTCTACAACGACGAATGACAGGCCTAGAAGTTTGTTTTAGTACGTGTTTTACGGCATTTGCAAACACAATAAGGTCATATAAGTGCCGAAGATTAGAGGTGTTACAAGAGAGTAGCAAACACAAACAAGAAGGAGGGGAGATAAAGACGATAGACGTTTGGTAGGAAAGAAGAAGCAAATCACACCAGAGCACCCGCCAACCACCCACAGACCTAGAAGTGAAAGGTCACGGATCACAACTCAGAGACAGGACCACCACATCAGCCGCACTCATCTTAAGAAAAGAATGCGCCCTGCAACAAACACAAGGGCACGAAATATATCCCTGAATACAGCGCAATCTCAGCGAGAACTGACCAGCCTCAAACGTTACATGAACTTGGGCAAAAGCTTTACCCGTCCCCATTGTTTTTATGCACCCCGCATAATTTAGCAGAATTTGAAAATCATTTTTTGCCAAATTTCTTATTATTTTCCTTTATAAATCTTTGATAAAATGAACAGAATCGTATAATTTCACATTTTTGGGCTCAGTTTGCATAATTTCAGAATTTTTCTTGCATAAAACGACGGGGACAGCTATGCACAGCTGCAGATTCCCCCGAGCAGTTTGTCCAAACCTCTCCGAGCATCGACGGACAGGTGATAGCTAGTCATCAGTGTGGCAAACGGCTACACCCCGCATTGATTTTGTGAATTTGGAAATAGGGCGGGGGTGGATCCATTTATGATGGATAATTTAGTGCAAACTTGAACACATCTATAAAAATAATTTATTCTCAGGACTTCTTCCTTGGTATGTCTGTTGTCTGGAAAAGGAATGGATTCTCTAAGGAAAAGTAGTTTTCAAGTACAATACATTTGATTTCTACACACGCACACACTATATACAAATATATACATATT